GGTGCTCGCTGGCGACGCCGCCCATGGCCGACTTGCGGTTTCTAGTCAATTCAGATTTTCCAGTTATGAGCCCTCGTAAATCAAGAGCAAAAACTATTTTTGTCTTTATTCTGTAGAAATCGCAGCAAGGCGAAAAATCTTAGAAATAGAAATATTGCTTTTACATTCATAAAATATTTATTTAGTTGCGTAAACACATTCAGATTAATATTTGTCATATTTTCCAAAAGTCAATTTGAATATTCTCAACCTTTCAATTTTTTTTAATGTTAATTTTTTTTATTTGGCAACAAATGGGAATTGTTCATCATTTTTTACGGAATGCCTTGAATTCTGAATAAATAAATATTTAAATAGCGACTATCAAATGAGTGTTAAGAAAGATTCTGAGGGGATGACCCAGCGCCGGAAAATATTCGAAGTATCTGAGGGAAACTCCGCTTTCGGCTCCTTCTCTCTGGGCCCATTCACCAATCTGTTCGGTTTTCCCACGACAGCGTCCAGCGTCGCCGACGACTAGCACCTTCTGGTCAAAGAACACCGCCGTCCCGCGAGGCAGGCTGCCGCGTTCCAGCAGCGTCCTCTGGCTTCATTGGGTAATAATTACTCGCCTACTTCATCAGCGCGACAGGAATTCACATAAGAAACGGAAAAGAGCTCCGGCCGGATGGAAGGAGAGGACGGCGGCGACGGGGGCGGCGCGCGCTCGCCCCGAGTGAGTCCATTGAGAAACGGGCCGGTAGGAGGCATGTAGGCGGGGAGTGATTTATGGAGTCAATAAACAACGCGGGGGCAAGGCTCGACTTGAGGCCGCGATAATGATGACCTCGGCTATCTCTATCCAGGGGAGCGACGTCGCGCCGAGCATCGGGGGGCGAGTCGTAGGGGCAACGGAGGCGGCGGGGGCGGCTGCGGCGTGGCGGCGGCGGCAGGCGCGTCAGGTAAACACAGGGCTGACCTTGGAACAATAACAAAGGCGCGGGTTGTTAGTCTTTCTCACGGCGCCGGTGGAGGTGAGAATTACTCGGGGGTGGCGCCGGCAGCCTCCGAGGCGCGCGCGGGGCGAACGAGCCGTGGAGAACGCGGACGGCCGACGCACTCGCAGCAATCCAGAGCGCGGCCTGCGCCGCGGGAGAAGGGAACCCTCACGCGGGTTTCTCCCTCCTGTGCTTCAAAAATGCCCCGCGGTGAAGGCAAAATTGCAAGTGAAAAATGCATCCATCACGAAATTATAAGAGATTCTCATTGGTGTTGTTGTTATCGGCTGCGATGGCTCATTGACAACCTTCGTTGCATCTGTACCGCCTGCAACAGGAAGTTCTAGTGACCCGGCAGGGTTTAGGGTCCGAGTAAGGCGAATTGTCGACACTAAATGTACAGGTAGGTCACATTCAGCTAGTCTAGAGGAGAATTTTAGCGGACATCTGCTCTGATTAGTAGTTTTATGTGGTTCCTCCCATCAACACTAGGCGAATTAGCAAATGAACCTTACCAAACAGGCCACAGTCCGCGTGCGATCTTTCTTTTGCCTGCTTAGTCTTCGCCTCTCCTCTTACGCACACGTTTACGTACTTGCACTAAACTAGGACACGTGCAAAGAGACCTTTTGGAAGCCTAGTGCTTGTCCAAGTTGTTGTGGTGCTCCTGTGGACTAGGAACCTGGAGGGGCAAACCCGCTAGCTGTCGTGTAGGTCAGCACCGGATCTCACACGTCAGTAAGAGGAACACCGCCATCTCCCGGGTTATGGTACACACAATACTTACAAGACTAATGATCATTGAAATTGACGCTCCACTCTGGTTGACAGGGTGGAGTTACCAGGGGAAAGTGGTATTAAATATTCTTCAAATTTGCTTTACGAAATTTATGCATGGCCTTTTTATACAATCGAAGTTAATGGTTTTCATGTACCCATTTAAATAAAGTTTCTCTTGCTATACATAATATTTATACAGTGTATTATGCTCAAGGCTTCAATACCATATACTTTCATGCCTTATTTCTAAGGGCTGAGCAATACGTGAATTTGCAAAAATATTTCTTTCCAGCAAAAGTTATTTTTTCCGTGCTGAGATGCGATCTCGGCTCTTTAGACTTTTGTTCCTGACATGAATCCCATACGCCACCAGCTACACACCGCAGCCCTTTCCTTCTCGATGCCAAAAGCACGTTGAAAATTTGCATTTGCAGTTTTTAAAAATCAAGTGTTTCAATTACATTCATTGAAGATCAAGTTTTAAAAACTGATTTCATTATGGAAAAAATATATATCGTCAATATTGTATTTTGACAATGTTAATTTTTGTTTGAGGAAATTTTCGAAAATTCAGATCGTTCGCAGAAAATTGAACCTGTGCAATTTTTATGCGTCCTTTGCTCTACGCGGGGAAAATATTTCAAGAAAAAATTTAAGGTATTTTTGAGAAAATGTCCGCAATACATGTAACAACAATATTCGGTTGGTTAACAATCGACGCTTAAAAGTCTCGTTTGATAATTCTCCAATTTCGTACTGTAATAAGTTGGGGGCGAATATTGATAACGTAAAAATTCATCTAAAATTATCAATAAGTTGCTCTCAAAATGCTTTAAAAATGACCTAAAAGCAAAGAAAAATGACGTAACAAATGTGATCAAAACCAGTTTGAAGAAACATCTCAAGCTGTTGTATTTGATACTGATGTAATCGGGCTTCTTCCATTCATTCAAGTGAACTCAGCTCGCAAACTTTTGGTTCGAACTGTTATTTACCAGGAAATCTTTCTGTAGTCATCCCGAAATAGACCGAACGCTGTCAGGGGTTACGGGACCCTTAGATTACAGACAACGGCTGACATTACAATTTTTGAGCAATGAAATCAAATAGACTACTCAGGAATCTGTGGTGAACCCTTGTTCTATCTTGTAAATGTTATTTGAAACAAGTACCATTAAAATAATATTAAAATCAATGAAATCAGCTCAAAATTCAATTAAAATGACCAAAAAGGATAAAAAAAATGACTCATTAGTCGAAATCCACGAATAATACAAAAACAAAAAAAGAACGTATAAAATGGATTATTTCCTTTTGTTGTAACATAAAATAATGTCTTTACTAAACGGCGTTATTCAAAAGTGAAAAGAAAAAAATGACATTTCATTCAAATTCAACCCCTAGTAATAATATATCTTACAATACTCATGTTGTAAATTTGACAACCATTAATTTAGTCTATATATAACAGGAATCATATGTTACTATTAAACAAAAAGAGCACCTTAAACATGATTTTAATTTGAACTGAGCCACGCTGATTGGTAGATTATTTCGTGGAAAGAGGCTTAGGTGTTCTGCCTTGGATTCAAAAACTGCCGAGAGGGCAGTATGCAAGGACAAGTGTTTTTTCTGCCAAAGCTGCTTGTCGAGTATTCATGTAAAGTACCTTCAAAAATCAAAATATCGCTTTGAAACTCCCAAAGCCTCGAATTCGTTCAGATGGAAGGAGAAATATATATTTTAGAGAAAATTGGCTGAACATTTTACGTGCTAGCGTTTACCACGTTAGGACACGTCAATCGATTTTTTGGTAACAAGGGCCCACAAAACATGGATTCTGGCTACAACACGTTATTAGAGGAAGTAATTTACTATGTACTAGAGGATTTACCTATTTTTTCGTTACGGCTCGACAATAGGAGCTTTTCTCGAAAATTCGCCGTTTTCCGGCGCACGATTACATCTTTTCTCCTTACACACGTAGAGGTGATATCGGATTGCGGAACTTTGTATTGTTTTTAAAGGGGAGTTAGAGGAGACAATAAAAATTGCAACATTTGCAAATTTATGTACAATTTCCAACTTTTGCAGATCTAAAGAGGGGAGTGCCTCCCGATCCCAGAGCCGAAAACCGTGAAAACAATTAAGCAACAATTTACAATTTTATAAACTAATTCGAAATACTATGCGCCGGCCGGAATGAATGCGCAAATTGTGCCTGAGATGAGCATTTTAATATATCAGTTTGTCAGACTTAGAAATTGATCCCCGCTCATTGATATTTTTTCGTTATTGCGTACGCGCAAGCCAAATCAGGGAAAGGTGGGATATTTCCGGCTAATACGTAAACAACCAAGACCTCACCCCGGGGACCAGCGTCTTTCCCGCCTTTGGGATTTTGCGCCAATCACATCAATCACATATGCACTACCGTTATGAGTGCTAGCGATTGGTCAAAGCGTCCCTTCCCCGTATCGAAGAGTGTCCAAGATTGCCCGGACGCTTCGAAAGATAGAATTTCAGCCGCCAGTTAATGTGGGGCCAACTTACGTACATAGGAGTATATATATATATATATATATATATATATATATATATAGAGAGAGAGAGAGAGAGAGAGAGAGAGAGAGAGAGTAATGTTGCGAATAATCGATTTCGAGATTTAACCAAAAAGTTTTTGTTTTTTTTTCCTTAAAACGTCTGTACATCTGTGAACATTACTAGCACCTAAACCATACGTACGGTTTTTTCCAAAACGGATATTCCCCTGTCGATCTGGCTCATCTTGAGGCGCTGCGATTTTGAAAAAAAATCTTTAAAATTTGGGGGTACTTTACATGAAGCCCCTGGACATTTTCAATTTTTTTTTAAAAACGCCTCCAATTTTTTAAAAATTTCTTGTCAGAATAGAGAAAAATATAC